TATGCATCTGCCCGTTTCTTATGGAGAGGTTGCACTGTATTAGAAACATCTATATTACACATACTTACTAAATAAGTGACTAATTTATGCAATTTAAACTAAATTAACAACTATTATCAAAAAGTAATTTATTTAAATACTTAATTTGTGGTAAATTCATTATTATTTTGTAGTATAGAATTTTAGCATTTATATTTTAAGTAAAATATTCGCACTATATATAACAGAATTTGCAAGAATCATTAATAAAATTGAAATATTTAAATAACCAAAATAGTTTTTGTAATTATTTTAAATGGAAAATGTTTTAATTAGTAGTAATTATATATTTCATCACATTAAAAGTATCTACCTAAAAAGCATCTGAAGATTTCACATTTTTATGAAAATTTTAGTGAAATTTTCATCCCTAGTTATAATTAAGTTTACAAGTTATGCAAGTTTGCAAACTTTAAATTCAATAATCTTACAGTTAATGCATTTTGACCACAATCTGATCATATGTTAAGTTTACAGATCAGGTACTGTATTATCGATTTGGATTAAATGCTTGTTTTCATATTTGATAAGAAAAGGCGTCTAAAATGTTTAAATTGAGGTCATATTAAAAGTAATGATTTTCATTAATTAGGTATAAAAGATTGTGATTATCTAATTAAACAATATAAATATATTGTTTATTGTGAATAATAGTTTGAATTGTATTGAATATAATGAAACTTTCATAATTAATTAAACAAACATGGTATTTTATTCACCTTAATAATAATTACAGTAAAAATCAATACAAATATAAAATCACAATAATTTTTGTAACACAACATATCAGAAGTTAAATATCAGATATAATTTATAATTACCGGCATTTAATACATTGAATTCAAACACGAATACCTAATACGGGGTTAAATAGTTGCTGTTATGGACTTTAGACAAATAACCGGATAGTTTTGCTTCGTTTCGGATGTCTTTGAAGTATAGCAACGAAGTTGTGAGCAGAAGAAGTGCTGTCATAACGTCCAACACAATGACCGCAATCATTGAGTGATCGCTTTCAGTGAACGCCGAGATGTGCTTCCGATCCGAGTTGGAGAAGAGTTTGGGCGCCGCTATTACTTCGCAACACTTGCTGTCCAGTGATGTCGTGCAGGGCTTGGAATACGCGATGAAACACCCATAGAGTGTCAATACGCCTATTATTGCGATCACAAACACTGACTGCAAACAAATGTCACGATAGTTGACAACTCTTTTGCAAAAACTATTCGCAAGACTTACTATGAAATGAAAGGCAAAGTTGATATCATCGTCAGTGTGCGGACTCACGTCTACGAACGCAAACACCATTATAACTGATCCACAAATCAATGCGATTAAGTGGAAAATATGAAGTTTTATAAAGTATCGCGAAATGTATCGATTTCTGTCTTCAGCTGTCTTTAGTTCTTTCACTTCTTCATCGGTGGCCACTCCTGTATGACATCTCTTAACCGCTATTATTGCCATCGAAGACATTA